CTGTGGACGGAATTTAAGAGGACGACCTTCCAGTGCTTGGGTTTGGTTGGACCCTGCTTCGATCGATAGTTTTTGAAGATCGTTAGCACTGGATACGTTAGTTAGACATTGGACATCCGACAAATTGCTTCTGCTCTCCCTTTTTTGAATTACGCACAGACTGCAACTCGAAAATGCTAACTTCATGGTGTTTATTAGCACGCAAGAAGTTATCGTGAAAAATAACTGTGAAGCCATGTATGCCAGCTATTTCGAGATAGCAACACGTAGCGCGTGGACAGCCTGCGGCCCGGGCGCAAGCCTAAGGCTTGTCAGAAACATAGAAAACTTTTTGTCTTCCTCGAAGGATGGAGGTGAAGCCGAGTACTGAAGTCAAAAAGCTGGGGCAGCTGTAATTGGTCAAATCGAGTGGCAGCGCCTTTCCGAACAAACGATGCGAGTAATTCCCACAAAGTGAACCCTAAAATGCCTGAGTGCACCACACGGATTGTCATTTTGAAATCTTTACTGCGATCGTTCTATCTAAACACAAGTGTATCATGTCATGATTCACCAAGACCTACGAGGTATATGCGGCACTTATATCACGTTCTAAAGCTAAGACACTACCAAATGAGGAAGAAAGACATCGAGAAAAAGTCTCGCCGCCTCTTCAGAGTCAAACTTTTGACTCGTTGTCCCACAGCCACAAGCGCTTTTTGCGTTGCCCAATGAGCTACCATAGCAGATACAACTCTCGTTACAAACGTGTCATACATCTCACACATTCTCTCTCTCATGGTGATCCGTGTTGGCGATGTGAAGCGGTTCCACATTGTGTGAACACTGAAGAGAATTAATGTGGCAAGGCACTTACTAGAATCTACAGAGAACAATTCCTTGACAACACAGTTAAAGCACGGTGTCTAAAATGGCGCCCCGGCGCGCAATCTTGGCCCTGGGTAATGCTTCTAGACAGCAGCAGCAAAAACACTGGCAGCGCTAGTATCGGGGAGTCGCCCACGCAGTTAGGTTTGGAAGAGTTGACTGTTAGGCGATTTGGTATTCAGACATAAAAATCATCGTGAGTAGCTCAACTAAAAAGAGAACACAGGAAGTTTTTCTTTTTACCTTTTGTTCCTGTTAGCATGTGACAGCTCGTTGTCGGATTCGTACCGGTTTCACATGCCCTAAGCATTTCGCCACCGACAAACTAATAAAACTACTGCACTATGCACTGAAAATAAAACTGTTGTGCTATACACTGCAGCATAGCAAAGATGTCGACAAGCGAATGTCATGCCTTGGTGGAGCGAAACTGATGCTAGCTAGACGTGGAACACAACGCACGTTCGCGGCTCAAGCTGCGAACCTCTTCCTCCTGCGTTTCTAATACCTGTGTCGCACGGGCGCGCAAAAAGTCTTTTAAGTAAACGGTCTTTTTACGAAGTTGAAAGACTTTTAACAAAGAGGTGTTGTGGCGCAGACACACGGCAGCAACGATCTTCTTTTAGTGTTTTCGTTCGAAGACGCTAGCGAAAGCATGGCGCTAGCAGTTAAAAGAGAAGCAATGAAAATTAAACGATGTATCACAATGTACAAATTAAAGACTTGTTGCACTGCTCGTTTCTTCAAATAAATTTAAGAATGAGAGATGAACAAACACCAATGTGAAAGTTTGTTGCACTAGTTAAGGAAGCATTCCCATAACTAGCGACGTGCACAAGTCCGTCTGGCACCACTGGGCTTTTATTTACCGTATTTGTTTTTCGCTGCTCTCGACTGCTCTCGACACGTTATGGGCGACCGTACGGAAGAAAAAGCGAGGATTGCAAGCCTCACGGCCTGCCTTGTCGCTCTGGAAAGCGAGGCAGACGCTGCAAAAGCCGCCAAGGAGGGTATCAAGCAGCAACTGCTGTTCAGCAATTTCTAGCTCTGCGCACTGGAGCTGTCGGAGAAGGCCTGCGATCGATCGATCTGGGCCTTCAGACAAAACAAGAGGTGGTTCGTGGGTACTGTACCTCACCTCAGTGAGCAGAACTTCAAGCAATATTTTCGAGTGTAGCCGTCCACCTTTCGTTTCATTGTGAAGAGCTTGCGCAGTGAGCTCGAAAGACAGTACACCAGCATGCGTGAAACAAATTATCACCCCTGAAAAGCGAGTCGGCATTGCCCTATACAAGCTTGACCATTTGAATGACGGGCAAACACACGACTGGCACGATTTCCTCGCTTGTGCAAAATGGCGCGGCGCGAGACCGAGCGTCACCACGTGATATTGCCGACGCGTTGTAGCTGTCTACGAGAGTAGAAAAGGAAATAACCATTAAAAAGTTCATTACACCTTCTGCAGGATATGAAATTTGTTTTTACAAAGAGTTTTGGTGACAGAAAAATAAGCATTCGCTCTTTTTTTCCCACCACTCGAAAATTGATGGCGTCCACTGGTTTCGAGGCTACTCATTCGGAGCTGTAAAGGAGATTGACGAACTCCGTTTACGAAAAAGACTGCTTCTGAAAAGGAGTTTGCTCTTTGCCGTGTGTCTGCTGTCAGGAACTTTTTTTCGGAAAAAGACTGCTTACTTAAAAGACTTTGAAGTGCCCGTGTGACAGGGGTATAAAGTACAATGAGGGGGTGTATATTGGAGGTGTTGGTAGTGTACGCCCGAGTGCAGGTGAGGCTCACCCTAATTACTCAAGATCACACTTCGTGCTCTTTTACTAATTATTTGACGCTTTGAAGACGGACATAAAAGTTACAGTGCTTAGCGCGTGCTTGTTGATGTCATCTTTTCGCAGGATTCACACACACGATGTTTCCAGTCACATGTTGTCAACTTCAGTGACCACAGTGGCCTCAGCTGGTCTACAGCCGCAGTGTCACTAAGACACTCGACATCACAACTTCCTGCATTGGGCTGAAGAAGCATGCCAGTTGGCGCGACACCGAATACATCAACAACGCAAGGACGCAAGCTATTATAACCCACACTGTAGAAAAGTTCAGTTCCACCAGGGCGAACGAGTGTGCTTATGAACAGTAATACAACGCCACGGGTATTAGAAAGCCTCGATCGTTGCTACGTTCGTCCATTAAAGTTACCCAAAGAATTATTGACCTAAAAACAAAGTTATCGATGATACACACTACCGTCAAAGCGGTAAAAACAGCGGAGATTGTACACGTAATCACATGAAGCCCTAATGTGAGAGACAATAGAAAAAACTATGTACTATCGCTCCGAAGGGAACTAGAATGGAATGCGCTTGGAATGAAGTGAGCGATGAAAGCAGCAGCGGTGCGCACGGTGTAGACCCGATTCATATGGGTGTCGACGCGGGTGTTGGAAAAACAGTTTGCAGCAAAACTGAAATCGGTTGCATCCGGTAGCTGCGTGCGCTGCAAGGAGCATGGTGCGGATAAAGGGGAGAGTGTAGTAAGTGCGCATCTGGGGAGGAAAGCGTGCGAGGACAGCGTGACGACAACGAGCAGCTGCGGTACGATTTTGTTGGCACCCCTCCAACACCTGCGGCAAGTAAACGCGTTGCGGCGCGCTCGTACAAACGTACGTGCGTACTACGTTACACACGAGATTTGAAGCGCTGCTTCTCGTGAAAACGCTCCCATTCTGCATCCATCGCGCATCACGACTATGCGTATTCCAAAGGAGGACTAATGCGACACAGACTGACTACAATACCTGATACCATGAAAGCCAGCGGGCTGTGGCATCACCGTCTGTAGTCTCACGCCTGCTCGCGTTTCTGGCACCACAAGTTGTGCCTCTCGCGCACGGGCATGACTCGGTATGGCTTTGTCTGGAGGGGAAGTAGAACAGGCTTTGGCTGAATGACAGTTTTCGTTTGGAATGCTGTGACGGACTCCTTGTTTTTGCACCTACATTGCAACTTAAAATGGTTATTGTGTTTCTCCTCTTGAATCATTTACATTATGAACTAAATTTACCACTTTAGACTATCGGCCAATCATCTACAGTGAAAGTTCTATGCTCGTATTTCAATGTTTAACCACCTCAATTGTGGTATCGGTATAATATAGAGGAGTAAAAGTGGATACCTTTACAAAGCCCGAAATAGGTTTATAGCACGTGCAGGCAGAAATGCCGATGCTCTTACTTCAGGAACATAGATTTTGAATATGCATTTGGCCCAAACGTCAATGCGGCAACAGATAATTTTTGTTTTGTGCAATTGCATGCCTCCAGGGTCTTTCAGTATAGTTAGTTGCCGTCATGAAATGCGAAGAAACAACTCACAAGGTGCCTTCTGTCGACTCGAAGGGAAGGAGAATGGAAGCCCAAATTTTACGTGCCACTGCAAAGTATCTTTTTCCTTTTTTCTAGGGGTAGCAAGCTTTGAAGTGTTTTTTGTCACCCAAAGAAGTGTGCTAAAACTTTAACGCTCATCCGCAATGCCGCGAGCAATGGCAATTGATGGTCAGAAGTACTATTTCTAATATAAGAAGACTTTGAACGTCAAGAAGTAGAAATAAAAGTATAGCCTGCAATCTGTGGCACTCAACCACGCTAGGGTATTTGCAAAGAGCCGGGTAGTTCCTACAAACTACTTTAGGTGTTTGAACAGGCTTCTTCTGAAATTATGAGCGACTGTAGGCAGTGTACAAAAATTGATGAATCTTGCTTTTTTAAACTTTATCATGTGCTTGGTTGTTGACCGTAGATCGCTTTCATAGGCTTCTTGCGTCGATGGAAGTTGGCTCAATGAGAGAATGAAGTATCAGTTGCAGTTCAGCGCTTGTCTTATTTATACTCCCCTCGTCCCCATCAATATGGGTGCTGAAGCTTTTCATGATCAAACTTTACGTTGCACAAGGCATCTAAGCTTTCAACCATATTAACATTTTCTTTTCGGAAAGCAAAACTCCCTCTGAAGGCTTGGCATGCCGGTATACTGCCAGAATGTCAGTATTTCATGTCAACTTGTACGCATCAAGTCAAGATTGGTCAATGAAGCGATATTGCTTTGTGTCTTTTTTTCAGGCAGGTGTTCTTTTGGATCATGCAAACTAGAAAATACCAACAGACACTCTTATCACCCGAGATTGTAGTTCTTGTCAGTAGTATTTCGGAAGCCGTTTCCTGTCGTTTCAAACAATAAATGCAACCGTGTTCGTGATAAAACAACTTACCTACCACATGTCTCAAATAAAACACTCTTGGGTTCATGTTTGCAGTGACAAAGTAGTTTGATAGTCTTCGTGGTCTTCGTGGTGATGAACTCTGTGAAACCCTTTGTGTTGGTTGATTAGATTTAAATATCTCGTGCATTGTGTATATTTCGCCAGTATTATATCAGTACTGCCGTTCTATGAAGTGGTTTAGGAATCTATATAACGCCATTTCGCAGATTAATGCATATTTTAAGACCTTGTCTAGATTTTCCATCCACGAAGAGCAAGGAGGTCACAAGTACGGTATTTTCATCATACTGACCCCTCAACTGTAACGGTTGTGAAGACAATAGGGTGGCGCTGGTGAATGAAGAAAATTACTTGATAACTTGAACCTGGGGCTGACTTTGCAATCTTGTGGACTCGTAATCCGCACGTGTCGGTGCAGCCCTAAATACGCCACCTTTGCGGAACGTGCGTATTTACCAGCGGATGACATACTTGTCCTAGCAGAGAAGCATCGCTTGAAAGAAACGAAGAAAACTTCTGACCAGCAAAATAGGCACAGAGAGTCTATGAAGACATTTGACAAACATCATAGCATAAACATTCCCACGATATCACAAGGTGATAAGGTTCTGGTACGAAAAGGTTAAGGTAATACAATATAAAACTTATAGGTCCTATTAGGGACGTGAAACTGGTCACGAAAAAAGTAGTGTTCAAGACCATCGGCTACACGACAGAAGATGGTGTGATGAAAATAGCAGCCATTTCCAACCTCATTCCTTATGTGGAGCAAACGGATAAAATAAAGTCCGGGAGAGTGTAGTGGGCTAGAAGGACGAAGAACAGATTCAATGGGAAGAGCGAAAAGACGAAGAAAAAGAATAAAAATATCGTGATTTGGGTCTACGCCCACGTGTCGGGGAATGTTACTCCTGTAGAGCACCTTTTATATATTTAATATAAATATATATATATATATATACATATATATATATATAGAGAGAGAGAGAGAGAAGAGGCACAAGTTAGCGGTTGTTCTAATTATATTTACAATAATTTTGACCTCTTTATCTGGCATTGCCGATAAGGGTTTCTGAATTGTTCACGAATTCTGACAAAGGCCAGTCCACTGGTTGGAATTGTTGGAAATAAAATAAGACAACCGCTTACTTTTACTTCTTCCTTCTCAAGTACATTTGGCCTACTAAAAGAATTTCTTCAATATATTGTTACGTTGAAGTTGGAACTTGTGAAAAAAGGAAGATGAGAACGAAGTGGTTTGCCTTAGAAGCAGCTTGGTGTCGGCGCGGCTTCCCTTCGCCATTCACTCCTCCTCATAAACACGCCTCATCGTAACAGTTTTGGTGAGAAGTTCGGGGTACGATAACGGCACCCCCGACGAACGGCCACTCATCAGCTGCTGAGGTGCAATACCCGGAGCTTCGCCGAAGCCAACCGCTTGCTGGTCTGCCACGTGCGATGGCGTCTCACGGCAACAATGATATCGAGCCACCTGCTTCCCGCATTTCATGGTAGCCCTACATCCAGCCTTTATCCTTCGCTGGACATGCTGGAGAAGATGTTGACTCTTGGTTCAGCTCCAACTAACGGGCAAGTCTGTTTTATGGCTCGGATGCCACCGGCTAGCTCAAGAATGTGGGACTCCTTCTCAAAGGAACCGCATCTGTACGGTTCGAAAACCATGAAGAAAGTCTTACGACGTGGTGGAATTCGTTGATGAAATCAAGTTGTGCTTCAGGGATCTGGCTGCGAAGATGAAGCGAGCCACTAAAACTTTTCTGCAACGAGTGCAAGTCCCTGGGGAAACTTGCACAACGTATATCGAAGACCTGCTCAAGTTGTGCAGGGCACTGGACCCCTTGTTGACAGAAGAGGACAAGGTTCGTCGAAGGAATCGCAAAGGACGTGTGCCAGTTCCTCATCGCAAAAAAACGTTTGGAGCGTATAGTTCAAGTTATCAAGCACTGCCATACGTTTGAAGCGCTAACGTGCGGCGAATTACACCAAAGTTCGGCCGTCTGCCCAACGTCACTAATGTCGCCAGTGTTGGCATGCATCCAACCCCATGGGATCTCGCACCCATGATTCGCGAAGTAGTGCGCGAAGAGCCCAACCTACGCGAAGCGGCTTCTCGGCCAGCACCTGATGTCTGAGAACCCTTTTTTCCGTGTGACTTTAGCGCTACGAATATCAACGCTATTTTCCTTGATGCCTACAGCTATACGCCTCGTCCTTGAGGGCCAAGCCAATTTAAGCGTCCGTACTAGCCATTGGATGATGAGTATGGGCGCCGACCACCTACCGGTTATCAGGCATGGAACGGCCAGGCCATTCATCCTTCTGCTGACATCAGTGGTGCACCCCGAGAACGTCCCATATGCTTTCACTGGGGCATCTGAAGTCATGTTGCCTGATTCTGCCCCCCCCCCCTCATCAACGTCGCGCGGCAGCACCGTCCTATGAGAGACCACGCACTTTCTACGGGAGCAGCAATCAGCACGTTGACGAGACATCCTGGCCCTCAGACTTCGGCAGCAGGCCAAAACTTCGGGGGAACCACCTCAGTTACTCACCGGCGTCTGTGTGAAGCTTGACGCCACCACCCTCGCGCTACCGAAGATCCTCATCTCCTCGACGACATCCTACTTTTTCGCCGCCGCGGAAGAAGGTGGCGCAACCGATGGAGGTGAGGTCACCGGTCATCTTCAGCTACACGTCACTACGCCTCCACCAGTGGCTTTGTGCCGTAACAAGAATTGTGTTTCTGTGGACAGCGTTGCAACGACAGCTTTAGTGGACACGGGAGCAAGTTTCTTCGTTATGAGCATGGATTTCAAAACTTCATTAGGCTATAAGTTGATGTTCAAGTGTGATAATGGGAGCACATTCCGTACTGTGAGTGGGTAATTGCTACGACCTCTTGGTGTTTGTACCGCGAACGTCTATTTCTCAAATAACGTCTATTAAGCTGAATTCACAGTGCTCGCTCAATCAATGCATAATGTGATTCTGGGACTCAATTTCCTGCAAAAATATGGTGCCACTCTTGATTGCGGTACCGGCGAGCTTTTTGTCTCTCCTTTTGTTGCCGACCAACCTGCTACTTGTTCGCACACCTTCGCAGTCTGTGAAGATTCAATCGTACCGCCCCGTTCGTTATCCAGCGTTCAGGTTACTGTTGCTAGTGCCCACAACGATGTATTCGGCGCTGTTGTTGAGCCGATGCCATAAATTGTCGCAAAGAAGGGTGTGCTCGTGCCTCAGTGGTCTTTGTGGTCTGTGGCACAAGTAGATTGTGGGTGTCAAATTTGCCTAACCAGTCTGTTGTGCTTGAAAGCGGTATGCTACTTGCCTCATTTGAAGCGGATACGAGCTTTAATATCGATGCCCTAAGCCATCCCGCCTCCAAGGAATCCCGGGCGCATGAGACTAGCCCTGGTGTCCCCAAAGACTCTTCGCTGTTTTTGAACATGATTCGCAAGGCACTACCCTCTGAGAAGCGTGAAGCGCTGGTCAGCGTCCTTAGCAGGCATGCTTCATTGTTTTCACCCATGACGCTACCTTAGTTTGTGTTCCCAGTACGCGGGCTTGCCACAAGATTCACACGGGGTCCACGCACCCCGTAAGGCAGAAACCATACCGTGTCTCTGCATCAGAGCGCAAGGTGATCACCGTACAGGTGGAAGACATGTTGGCAAAGGGCGTCATTCAAGTCTCTTCTAGCGCCTGGACTGCACGTCATCCTCGTGAAGAAAAAGAAACGTGTCCTGGAGGTTTCGCGTCGACTACCGGCGTCTAAATTCGGTGAAGAAAAAGGATGTGTATCCACTTCCCCGCATAAACGACATTATCTACTGTCTTAATGCAGCATCTTACTTCTCATCTGTCGGCCTCCGATTGGGCTATGGGCAGGTACCTATGCATTCCGCCCACAAAGAGAAAACCGCTTTTGTCACGCCAGATGGCTTGTTTGAATTCAATGTCATTCGTTTGGTTTGTGCAAAGTCCCTGAGACATTTGAAAGGTTTATTGTCACGATACTGCTTGGTCTCAAAAGGGAGATTTGTTTATGTTGCCTCGACGCACACCCTGAAGATCTGGGTGTGCACCCAAACCCTCAGAAGGTTGCTGTAGTTACCTGTTTCAAACAACCACAGACACAACACGAAAAAAGGAGTTTTCTGGGTCTCTGTTCATGACAGAGATCATGACACAACCATCGACTGACCTTCCCATCCCCAAGTACACTGGAGCCACGGACGATGGACCTGTACAGGACTGGTTCGACCTGTTCGAACGCCACGCTATCGCTGCATCGTGGTCGGAACGGGAGAAGGTTACGAACTTCATTGACTATGTCATCGGTGAGGCATTTAAATTTTATCTTACCCACATATTCGAGAACGACGACAATGTGAAAATGACATTGTCAATTTTGGACGCACTTATGCTGAACACAACTATCGACTTCACGTTGCTTTAACATGCCTTGAACTAGCTACCCTTAACCTGAACGCCAAGAAATGTCACTTCAGTCAGTGAGAAGCAGTTTACTTGGTCATCTTGTAGACAAAAATGGTGAAACCCAGACCCTCAGAAGGTTGCTGTAGTTACCTTTTTTCAAACAACCGCAGACACAACACTAACTACGGAGTTTTCTGGGTCTCTGTTTATACTTCCGCTGATTTGTGCCCAAGTTTGCTGATACTGCCTACCCATTGACTTCACTGGTTTGCAAAGATAAGGATTTGTTCTGGACAGTGGAGTGTGATGTTTTGTATTGTGAACCTAAATTCCTTCTCGCGTCTGAGATCATACTGCACCATTTCGACCTGCCTTGCACGACAGAAGTTCACACCGACGCGAGTGGCATCGGTCTTGGCGCCATGCTCATCCAGCGCTTCGATGACACCGCGCATG